TTGTGTGACTAATTGAACGAAGAACTCAATTGTACTCAATATAGTGGACAAAGGCCACATTCTAGGCCAAAACTCTCTCTTCTTGGGCAAGACATTTCATACTTTCCTGTTTCAGTTTCGCTATCTATATATTAGCAATATTGTTTTTCCAGCAAGTGTGCTGCTTGGATGAGTGAAGTTTTTAGCCATTCAGTTAAAGAGTCTATCAAAATATTGCTACTAAATATATATTCAGAATTGGAAAGCTAAATCCCAGAGCAGACTTGGAAACTATTATAAAAATATACTTATATGTAGTAAACTGGCCTGTTCTCAGTTGATATGAGTCCTGAATTCAGGAGCTATGTTCAGAGAATGACAAAGAGAGAGAAGCAGCAATGGTGAAGGAATCTGTCTCTGTTCTCAGCTGTGGTACCAATTTAATGGTCAAAAGCAACACCTGCATGAAAAGCTTTGCTTGGCAGCCTGGAAATCTCCAGGACAAACGATCTTTAAGGGAGATAATAGTTCCCAAAGTCCAGGAAGAACATACCAAATACTTTTGTGGGTAAGACAACGCAGTGCTATTTACTCACACGGGTAAGAAAGTGATGTTCAGCACCCCTTCATCTCATCCATCGAGTTCTGTCTTCAAAGTACAGGAGCACAAGTACAGTCACCAAGCAGTGAAATGCTTTTCTTTATCATTCTTACACACATAGCCTGTCTATTAAACCTGCACAAGATGCCAAGTTGGGAGGAGCTGCAAGGAAAGTAGAAAAATTAAGCTAACGCAAAATAATCTTGATAAACTATAGAAAGAGATGGAAAAAAAACAAGATGTCATTCAGCTAAGACAAGTGATTGTACAACTCTGTGTTCATCTGGACAAATACACATTAAAAAAAGGGAACACCAGTGAAAGATCTGTTGGTTATAACAATCTGAAACCCCAAGGTTAGCCAGCGAGGTGGTCTCAGCAAAAAATAAATCACGGCTAATTTCAGCTCAAACTGAAACATTTAAATTCCTCAGTTGCAACCTGCTTGAAACAAGGTATTACAAAGTGAGCTGCTGCTGAGTCTGACCCCTGGGCAGGGCAGTTCACGCTGAAAACAGCCCCCAGACTAAACCCTGGAGCTGTTTCCTCTCTTCCCCAGTTCTCCTGCCCGGGAGGACGGAGGCATCAGCAACCACAGCAATAAAAATCAGTGGCCACACCAGCTGGCAGTGGTTTCCTCCCTTCATGGCTCCAGGAGAACAGCTCATTTTTTATTTATGAGGTCTAAGAAAAAAAAAATAATGAAACAAACAGGAAGTAAATATTTCTTGGGGCACTGGGTAGTGAGCTGGCCAACGTCCAAGGCATCAAGGAGGAGAGGCAGGGGTGGAGGGTGGAAGCGTGACAGCTCCCTTCCTACCAGCCATCCCCTGACAGCAGGGAGGAGGATGACAAAGGGTGAACTGCACCCTCAATGTCCTGTGTGGTGACCCAGCACGGCAAGGAACAGGCTGGTGACCTGCAGTGGGGGTCCCACAGGGAGCCGTGGTCACTGTGGGCAGGATGGGAACCCTCCAGAGATTGGGTTGGAGAGGTTGATATTTCCCCCAGCCATTTACATAAGATATTGCTTTGGGTTCTCCAGGTAATCCCTCTCCCTACTTTGCCACGCTCCTCTTGCATCCTAAAGCTACATCACCCTAAAGGCTGCTTTGCACGTGCTTTCAGAAGAGCATCACATCTAAGCTCAGAAAGAACCTTTCTGGGAAAAGACACCTTGTCTTCCCACATAGCTCTTCCATCTCCTTGTGCCCCCAAAGAACAAAGACCACCCTTAATATCAGTAGAGAAAACACCCTTCTGCAATCCTTCACTTTCCTGAGAAGACCAACGTGAAGCTGTAGATCACAGAATCACAGAATTATCTAGGCTGGAAGAGACCCTCGGGATCATCGAGTCCAGCCATCCACCCTACTCTAAAGTCCTCCCCTACACCATATCCCCCAACACCACATCTAAATGGTTCTTAAACACAGCCAGGGATGGTGACTCAACCCCCTCCCTGGGCAGCCTATTCCAATGCCCGACCACTCTCTCTGTGAAGAATTGTTTCCTAATGTCCAGTCTAAACCTCCCCTGGTGCAACTTGAAGCCATTACCCCTTGTCCTGTCATCTGTAACTTGGGAGAAGAGACCGACCCCCACCTCTCTACACCCTCCTTTCAGGTAGTTGTAGAGAGCAATAAGGTCTCCCCTCAGCCTCCTCTTCCCCAGACTGAACACCCCCAGCTCCCTCAGCCTCTCCTCATAAGACTTACTCTCCAGACCCCTCACAAGCTCCGTTGCCCTTCTCTGGACCTGCTCCAGCCCCTCAATGTCTTTCTTGTGGTGGGGGGCCCAAAACTGGACACAGTACTCGAGGTGGGGTCTCACCAGTGCCGAGTACAGGGGGATGATCACCTCTCGGGTCCTACTCACCACACTATGTCCACAGATGTCCACACAGATGACCACACAGATGTCATTTGTTGGAGACACACAAGCATCCTGTAAGCTCTAAGTGTGTGCAGAGGAGCAGCCACCCATCCCCTCACAGCTCCAACCTCACACACAGCACCGCCTGTTCCTAATTTCATAAGCCTTGCCATCAGGGCTGGCTGGTTATGAACTCTAATTATTTTGCACAGGAGACTATAACAAGACCTTTCTAAGAAGCCTGAACTCCCCCTTGCAGATTTCTGGAAGCTGCAGGGAAAGAAAGAAGCTACCTATTACTTTCTGACAGATGTCCTAAAAGAGGATGCGTGCAGGAGAAGATTTATCTCTGGAAAATTACGAAAGAAATGTAGCATTTTACATTAACTTCCACCCTTCATTGTTTTAATTACTGCCTAATGAATATTAACCCTCAGAATATCTCCCCTACAGGGCTGAGCAAATGAGAAACAAGTCATAGCAGGGTAGTCAGAATGAAAGGAAGGGAAAAAAACCCAAGACAATAAAAAAAACCCCACACATCAGGAGAGGCAGAAAAATGTGCCCTGGTATGCAGCAGCTGACATTCATTTCATAATGTCAACATTTTATATGCAAAGCTTTCCTGCGTGGCAGCAAAACATATGGATTAACAATGGCATGTGGTGGGATTAGATAAAAAAATAAATTAATTTTTAAGGTGCTCTCTATTGTACGGGGGACAAGGGGAGAAAGAATGAATTCTCTATCAGTACAAGCATCAGCTAAGATTACTGTTGTAGAAAGACATTTTAAAAGCAACAACAAACCCTAAAGACCACCCTCAAATTAAATCCTGGTTTTACTCAAGCCCATGGGAGTTTTCTCCTGCACTGCCACAGGACTAGGACTACACTCATTTCTCATTAGTCACCTTATTTTGAAGATCCCACTCAAATGCCTCCAACATGCAAATGCACAAAGCCCACTGGAAGCTGAAGGTCAGGCAGAGAAATTCTGAGTTGGTGTCAGAAACCTCAGCCTTCAGAGCCAGGACACTCCTCTGCTCCCCAGTGACTGACAGTTTCTCCATTACCAATGTATGCACCCCAATTCCCCCCTCAACAAAACTTAGTGGCAAACATCTACTCATTACCAATGTATGCACCCCAATTCCCCCCCCTCAACAAAACCTAGTGGCAAACATCTACAACAGAGATTAAAGAAAACCGACCCAATTTAAAAACTAGTGAAATAGTTTAAGTGCTCTAACCAGAAAACAATTTAAACAGAGAGAAACTCTTTATCCTGTGACTGGCAGTGTGAAAGCTGTACAAACAGCGGAGGAAGCTGATTAAGTGTGGCTTCTGTGCAACTAAAGTGCTCTTAGATGCTCTGGATGCATGAAACAAAGGAGGTTGATGGAAGGATTCTCCCTTCCTGCTACAGTTAAAGCTGCATTGAGGAAGTGCAGGTAAAAAAATAAAAATAGAAGGGATATATGAGCAAATGTTTAACTTTAATTGATTAGATTAACGGTTAATTTGGCCCACCATTAAATCAAGCTTTACTGGAGACTATTTGGCCCACCATTAAATCAAGCTTTACTGAAGACTAGACAAGACAGGCAAAATTTCTAATCTTGTGGGAAATATTCTGTATTGTTACAGAGCACTTAAATACAGCATCAATGAAGTGACAAATTACTCTGCTATTAAACTGAGTTATCTCGACATCAGAACCTCCTGCTCCCTTCTGTTGGGTTTGTGTTTCAGAGGACACCACCTTAAATGGAAGTAGAAGAAATAGAAAAGCAGCAACGTGGCTGCAGGGAAATCAGGTATTTCCAGGGAAGCCACTACACACCAGGAGTGTTCAAACCCACAGGTGAGTCTCACTTATTTGATAAGGCGTGCTCCAGTAAGACTTTTTCTCACACTTTTTCACTCGTAAGGTGCAAACCCCAGATGAGATCCAGGAAATAAACTTTTTCTCTCCCCACCCCCACTCTTCAAGCTTCTGTGATAACTTCAATACTGTAACACTAGCAACAATCAACGACAAACATCTCTAATATACTGAACCTAGTTAAGGCAAGGGAAATTTAGGGAGTTGGCCCAGGTGGAATGGAGCCAGGAGTGCCCTGTCTCACCTCATTTCTGGGATGGTGCCTGGAGCTCTAGGGCTGACCTGGCACCACGCTGGACCACAGCCAGCTCTAACCGTACCGTGCCAGATAGTGTCACACCTGGCTTTTGCTGGACTTTAACCCCATAAAACAGAATACACCTTCAGCCAGTAACACAGGGCTCTTCCCTTTCACGTTGTCAGACTAAGGAAAGCTTCACAAGCCATTTTCTCCTGGGACAATCAAAGTCTGAGAGCATACATTGGTATTATGCTCTAATAATAATATAATATAATATACCAAGTCAACATTTAAACCCCAAATTGATACACAGCCACTAAAACAAACCTTAAGAGTACAAGTCCTGCTTTTCATTGCCTATCTAGGCAAACCCACGCCAAATATTTGGAGGAAAAAATCACCATACACACAGAAGTCTGAAGATAACAACCACATTTTTATTTTTGTCAGATTTTTCTCACTTCCTCTATCGTTAGCACTCTACAGTCAAGCCAGACTCGATTCTTACTGTAATTTGTTGCTAAATTCCTCCTTTATGCTTTCGGAACTTCCCAGTTTGGAATCCTGCAGCTCTTCCTTCTGATATTTCTAAATCCATGCTCTGCAGACTTGAAGGAATCCAGAGTGCTACAGCCTGATAACTCCTAGGCTCCTGATAAACAACAACATTATCGCATTTTCATCTTTTACATACAGAAAATGAGCACAAATTAATTTTATTTAAGATTAATTTTGTTTCATTCAGCCAAACGAGGACTCTGATGAAGTTTTGCCCAGCATTTAAGAGGCTACACACAACTGAAATGGATTGCAAAATGTCATGCAGAACCAATTAGGGGCAGCCAGTGGAGAATATTACCAGCCTGCTGACGTTGGGAATGAACACAAGAAAGTACAAACACCGGATGCACTAAACACAAGTAGCACGTTGTATCATGGCTGCACTGTGCCTGACCAAAAGTCAAGCAATACTGTAACTATTAAAAAAAAAGAAAATCAATTTTTTATCAACTTCATTGCAAATTTCTTTTGAAGATTTTGATAAACATCAATTGAGTCGTCCACATTTCCATTGTTATGGGAAACAGAAGCCACAGAGTCCAAGTGTTACCTCTGAAAACACAAACTAAGTGGCAACGGGTAAAAAAACGCATGAACCCAGGCTGTCTACTTCCATTTCAAACTATTGGGTGGTACCATTCATCACAGCTTAGCCCTCAAATCACTCTGGTTTTGCACCAGTTTGGAGCTGAATCATCTTCAAGCAGAAGGCTCACAGAGCCATCAGGTTCATTCTTCTTCATCAAGATCCTTCCTCTTATGCAAGGGAGTCCCAGGAAGGCACTCACGGCCGCAGGATGTTCTTTTCAACATCTGCATTTGGCAACAGAAGTCATGTACACAACCATTTTCTCACCTTCCTCAGTGAAAAGAGGGAGTCTGTGTCCTCCCCAGAGGCAGGTGTTTGTGCAAACAGAACCCTGCTTCAGTCACTAATGGTGACACAAGACATGGAGAAGAAAAGGTGCTGCTCCACACCAGCCCCAAGACTGCCATGAGGAGAAAAGCACAGCAAACACAAAGGATCATTCCCCTCTCCAACACTTCCAGCTTTATCAACAGTGTTAGTAGCCAACAGCAGCATTTTAACATCTAGGAAAATGCATGCTTAAAGGAATTACCTTTTTTTTTTGCAGACAAAAGCGGAATTCTAGGAGAAAGTCTATTCTCTTGGCTGTCACCAGTGACCCAATGTGGCTTTTAACACAGGTGTCCATACTCCCTCTGCTGACTGAAGCTGTAACCACATGGCTGCTCTTGTGCTGGACACTCATCCTTCTCTATTGTGTGCTTAAAATAAAATAATAAAAAAAAGAGGAAACTTCAATTTCATTGTTTTAAGCATCCAAAGAGCAGGACAGTAAGACTAGTAGGTCACTGCTTCTGAATTCTTATCTTGTAACCTAGCGCAAAGCACTGGACAAATTATAATTTGTTCCTCAGCACACACATAAAAGTCATATTAAAGCTTCTCTGGCTTAAAATTGGCAAAAACTGCAGCGATCTAAATCCACTCTTTTAAGTATTTTCAGATGCTTATAGAAAAAATTCTAAATATCTACAACACTAGAGTCTCCTGGTAGCAATAAGCTGAAATTGATCTTTCCAACTCCTGTCACCACGGTCTGTGACTTTCCTCACTTCCAGCAGCAGGAATTTCCTAACTGCACTCTAAGACCCCCTGCTGCCTATAATTTCATGTGACAGCATTACAAAATGTCAAAACACTGAAAGGTACTTAATGAAAATGTTAAAAGCAATGAAATGCCGTAAATAAAAGCTCTCAGGTACCAGGGCAGGCAGATGTCAGGCTGTATTGATCCATCCTGTTCCGGTGAGCTGCCGTGGCCCGGCAGCTCCCAGAGATGCTAATGGGAGAGGAAGGATATGGCAGTGGATGGGAAAACAAACTAGGAGATGGCAGTGTGCTGGTGGAGAGAATGTGTGACCTCAGCCATTATATTTAGGAAGAAATTTTAAATGGCACACATAATATTAACTCAGATCAGCACAACTGTACCTCCCCGGGACAGTCTATGGATAAATATGGGGAGAATGCAGGGTGCTACGATGCTACAAGAACAATGACAAAAGAATACCCTGCGTATACTGACAATGTCATCCCTGCTTTTGTTCCTCGAGCTCAAGCACAGCAGCTCCACAGGAATCAGGGCCCCTGTCAGTCTGGGTGCAGACACGTCAATCCCATGAAAACACCTAATACGGTGATGCCCTATTTCATAAAGCTCCTAACCACCCCATCATGACTTTCACTCCTGGTATTTTTTTTTTTGTACCAGCTTTGCTTTACGCTTTCAAGCCTCAGCGAACACCAGATAAAAGGGTTGGGAGCATCAGAATCCATTCCACTGTCTCCAACCTCACTGTGTGAAAGGGAGAGCGCGGGATCGGGGACGCGCCTCGGCGGGGACTGCAGACTCTGCATTTCCCTGGCAGCGAGGCCATCTGTGCTGCGTGACCTACTTGTGGCTGCAGCGTGCTGCGACGGGAGGTGACAGCGTTAACGGAGACCGCAGGGCTGGCGGGGACGGGGAGAGAACAGCCCAAGGAACTCTGCACTTCTCTTCATGCTGCGGGTTAAGATCTCAGCCTCTGGCCTCTTGGACCTGCTGGATAATGCACACCAGTGTTAGTCCTAACAATAACAGTAAGCTGAACTCACAGATTTAACCCAAAAGCAAAACGACCTTGAACACCGAACAGTTCTCCCCTCTCTCCCAAAACCACATATAACACTTTTAAAATATTTATCTGTACTGAATATGCAGTATAGATACTTTCCCTAATGACCAAAGTTTGTTTTTTTCTCTACTCTTTTATTTTTACTCTTTTATTTTTCCATTTGTGGTGGAGGCACCATCCCTGGAGGTGTTCAAAAGACGGGTTGATGTCGTGCTGGGAGGTATGGTTTAGTGATGATGCTCCTTGTTTGTTGTGTGGGTGTCTATTTTTGTCAGTTGGGTTGACGGTTGGACAAGATGATCTTTAAGGTCCCTTCCAACCTAGAAGATTCTGTGATTCTGTGATTTTACAACTCACATCCAGTCACAATTTCACCGTTGTTGCTCTTTGCCGTCTTCAACTACTGCCTCACTTCTAATGTCTTCACTGATTTCAACTTCTTGTACAAATGCAAAACAAGCTATCCTCAGTTTCACCAACCACAGCAATTCTTTTGCCACAACTTCTGCATTTACCCAACCCCCTGATGAAACCTGCTGCGTTGGGCTTCAGTTTCCCTGCAGGAGCTGCAGCTTGAGCCCTTGACTGGAGCTGACCTGAAAGAAGCCTCCATATGGTCTTCAAAGGACCTGTTCCTGACATCAAACACCTGCAGCTGGGACTTCCTTGCTCCTGGGATGACCACAAGATCACTATTTATTTCTCTGATGGTGATCTCCATTACTAGTAGCACATGCTGTTGAATACACCCAAGAGGAGCATTCCCCTTGCTAAATAAATCATTAGCAAAAAGCCTTTATCTGTACTATATACTAATTACAAATATTTAGTAAGCTTTTTCTATATATCTTTTGGCATGGGAGGGAGACAGGTCAGAAGGAATAATCTTGCATTCAGGGTTATTCTCCTTTCAGGATAACACAGTACATCTGCTGCATGCATGTGTATTTGGGCACTGCTGATGACACACCAAAAGAATTCTGCCATTTCAGCCCTGTGGAATTCCTTTTATCCTGGATCTATCCTGTGATCTCAAAGGACAGACTACAATATAAACAGTCCACATTCTGGGACAGATGGGTTTTAAAACTCATTTAGCCTCAGGTCTGCCCATCCACCTGCCACACATCCCTATCAATACTGTTGAGCCCTCAATAAATACTTGCTCCCTGTGTGGTTCACTACAGAACTGCTGTGGATAAGTGAGGAGTCACTGCCTACACGGGGGCTGCAGCGCTTTAGGAGCCCGTGCTCCAGAGAAACACACATCAGAACTGCTTCACAGAAACATATCACAAAATCTGTCGTCAGGCTCTCTACAGCAATTCTTATGAATAGCCATTCTTACTGTCCTTCGGGTGCTTATCAGCACCAATCCTGTACATACAGTGGGAGAATTAATGCCGGCCAGAAAAATTGTATCTTATCTAGAGAATGGTACTTCCTAAGAGGATAACAACTGTTTAATTTGGCTAGAAACCAAAGCATGTCTGGCACACTGTACTGACAGACTTTTATGGCCAGCAGTGCTGTATGCAGCTGCAGCATTCCGCTGTCTCACACGGGGCTCTGCTGAGTACTGCAGTAAGTTAAATCCAAAGACAAGAATAACGTAGTAAGTTTGAGGTGCTACAGGAACAATAGAAAAATTGTATCTTATCTAGAGAATGGTACTTCCTAAGAGGATAACAACTGTTTAATTTGGCTAGAAACCAAAGCATGTCTGGCACACTGTACTGACAGACTTTTATGGCCAGCAGTGCTGTATGCAGCTGCAGCATTCCTCTGTCTCACACCGGCTCTGCTGAGTACTGCAGTAAGTTAAATCCAAAGACAAGAGTAACATAGTAAGTTTGAGGTGTTACAGGAACAACGTATTCACGTGTGCTACAAGCAGTCTGAATACCGACAAAAATGCCAACTGTCTCACCCTCATATGCCACATAATTGTGTTGTAATTTAATTTTCTCCTCTACCTCCAACGGAGGCAAAGTTAATCCACAATTAATTCAGCCAGCCACATAAAAGCTGCAGACCACTTACAATTCACCCTTACATCATGCTTATCCTAAGCCACTAGGAACTACGAACAGCTATTAATAATAATAAAAAAAAAAAAATATGCAAAACAAGATTAAAGTACTGACCATCCTGCCTACATAAATCCGCAGATATGAATCTGCGCTTTACGTAACAGAAACTTCGCCCTCCAGAGTTTTAGAGCCTCATGAGAAACCCAGCAAACTCCATCACTGCCAGCCACAGGCTGAACCAGTTGTGCAGGCTGAAGGCAATGTTCTCATCTGCAAACATTCACGTGCCAATCTCACCACCCCAAGTAACAGGCACTGACAATAACACTGGAATGCAAATGTTGTGGCAAATGAGGAAGTTACTCCCTCAGAAGAGCATCGCTGCTCACACAGGGCTTCAAATATGATCAGTTCCAAGTTCCAGCCTTGCTCCAATCTTCAATTAGAAATGCTTCCCAATGAATCAGAGCCCAGACTGAAGGGCATATCCCCTGCTCACTGAGCCAACATAAATGTCATTGATTATGTGGAGCATAAGCAGTGCTTAAAGATATATTAAGGCCCAGGTACTTACTGTGGTTTAAAACTAGCAGTGATACCAAAATTCTAACAGTAGCACCAGAACATTACAACACACTCACATCCAGTCACAATTTCACCGTTGTTGCTCTTTGCCGTCTTCAACTACTGCCTCACTTCTAATGTCTTCACTGATTTCAACTTCTTGTACAAATGCAAAACAAGCTATCCTCAGTTTCACCAACCACAGCAATTCTTTTGCCACAACTTCTGCATTTACCCAACCCCCTGATGAAACCTGCTGCGTTGGGCTTCAGTTTCCCTGCAGGAGCTGCAGCTTGAGCCCTTGACTGGAGCTGACCTGAAAGAAGCCTCCATATGGTCTTCAAAGGACCTGTTCCTGACATCAAACACCTGCAGCTGGGACTTCCTTGCTCCTGGGATGACCACAAGATCACTATTTATTTCTCTGATGGTGATCTCCATTACTAGTAGCACATGCTGTTGAATACACCCAAGAGGAGCATTCCCCTTGCTAAATAAATCATTAGCAAAAAGCCTTTATCTGTACTATATACTAATTACAAATATTTAGTAAGCTTTTTCTATATATCTTTTGGCATGGGAGGGAGACAGGTCAGAAGGAATAATCTTGCATTCAGGGTTATTCTCCTTTCAGGATAACACAGTACATCTGCTGCATGCATGTGTATTTGGGCACTGCTGATGACACACCAAAAGAATTCTGCCATTTCAGCCCTGTGGAATTCCTTTTATCCTGGATCTATCCTGTGATCTCAAAGGACAGACTACAATATAAACAGTCCACATTCTGGGACAGATGGGTTTTAAAACTCATTTAGCCTCAGGTCTGCCCATCCACCTGCCACACATCCCTATCAATACTGTTGAGCCCTCAATAAATACTTGCTCCCTGTGTGGTTCACTACAGAACTGCTGTGGATAAGTGAGGAGTCACTGCCTACACGGGGGCTGCAGCGCTTTAGGAGCCCGTGCTCCAGAGAAACACACATCAGAACTGCTTCACAGAAACATATCACAAAATCTGTCGTCAGGCTCTCTACAGCAATTCTTATGAATAGCCATTCTTACTGTCCTTCGGGTGCTTATCAGCACCAATCCTGTACATACAGTGGGAGAATTAATGCCGGCCAGAAAAATTGTATCTTATCTAGAGAATGGTACTTCCTAAGAGGATAACAACTGTTTAATTTGGCTAGAAACCAAAGCATGTCTGGCACACTGTACTGACAGACTTTTATGGCCAGCAGTGCTGTATGCAGCTGCAGCATTCCGCTGTCTCACACGGGGCTCTGCTGAGTACTGCAGTAAGTTAAATCCAAAGACAAGAATAACGTAGTAAGTTTGAGGTGCTACAGGAACAATGTATTCACGTGTGCTACAAGCAGTCTGAATACCTACAAAAATGCCAACTGTCTCACCCTCATATGCCACATAATTGTGTTGTAATTTAATTTTCTACTCTACCTCCAACGGAGGCAAAATTAATCCACAGTTAATTCAGCCAGCCACATAAAAGCTGCAGACCACTTACAATTCACCCTTACATCATGCTTATCCTAAGCCACTAGGAACCTAGTACAGCTATTAATAATAATAAAAAAAATAATATGCAAAACAAGATTAAAGTACTGACCATCCTGCCTACATAAATCCACAGATATGAATCTGCACTTTACGTAACAGAAACTTCGCCCTCCAGAGTTTTAGAGCCTCATGAGAAACTCAGCAAACTCCATCCCTGCCAGGCCACAGGCTGAACCAGTTGTGCAGGCTGAAGGCAATGTTCTCATCTGCAAACATTCACGTGCCAATCTCGCCACCCCAAGTAACAGGCACTGACAATAACACTGGCATGCAAATGTTGTGGCAAATGAGGAAGTTACTCCCTTAGAAGAGCATCGCTGCTCACACAGGGCTTCAAATATGATCAGTTCCAAGTTCCTGCCTCACTCCAATCTTAAATTAGAAATGCTTCCCAATGAATCAGAGCCCAGACTGAAGGGCATATCCCCTGCTCACTGAGCCAACATAAATGTCATTGATTATGTGGAGCATAAGCAGTGCTTAAAGATGTATTGTACTTACTGTAGTTTAAAACTAACAGTGATACCCAAATTCTAACGGTAGCACCACAACATTATAACATCGCTACTTGTGGTATTTCGGATGTGTCTTTTATTGCTTTCATTTTATAGGAGGAAATAAAGAACACTTTGTTTCTTCTTCCATAAGAAGAAACAAGGGTTTAGACTCCAAAAGCGCAGACGTAACTGTCTTATTAATTACCTTAACACTTAACCAGTCAGTAGGGCAGGAGAAGGAGTCAGACTCCCGCCCAGCAGTGCACCAGCCCCCCGAGCCGTGCCGTGAGCGGCCCCAGGCCTCACCGCCACCCTCCCTCACCACAGCCCAGCCCTGCTGCCCCACGGCCCGGCCTGCCACCCCCCCGCCATCCCTCCGCGGCTTCACACACTGCCGAGGCCGTGTCTTTTATTGCTTTCATTTTATAGGAGGAAATAAAGAACACTTTGTTTCTTCTTCCATAAGAAGAAACAAGGGTTTAGACTCCAAAAGCGCAGACGTAACTGTCTTATTAATTACCTTAACACTTAACCAGTCAGTAGGGCAGGAGA